ATATATATATATATATATATATACATATATACATATATATATTGAGAGAGAGTGAGAGCTATATGGAAACCACGTACCTGTGGAGATAGGTTAGGATTTTCGCTGTCTGCTTTCACTAATTCGATGAGTTCCGTCATGCCCTCCAGTCGCTCCTTCCACACTTTGCTCGCCACTTGCGTACGCACAGCCTGCGGCAAAGCACACACACGCATGTGAGATATAGTGAACTATAGGTGTGTGGCTACAAGCAACAGGAACCCTAGAGAAGGTATAGGGGTTTAGGGTTTTAGGGGTTTTAAACCCTAAACCCTGTAGGGGATATACTGAGATACACATAGTCCGGCCTACATTGTGCACGGGAGTAGCCGACGTGGCGCAGTGTGATAGTTCTGTCGGGCGTACACTAGACGCTATGACTGAGCCGACAGGGCACACAACAACGAGAGGCATCAGCGCTATCCCAAACCAACTATGAGCACAGACTGTCAGTGGTACACACAGACATGCAGAGACAAACAGCACTCTAAAACAGACAGATGATGTAGACGAGTGCGATGATAAGAATCAACTCATTATCTATCGATTGCCCAGGGATATGCCTCTCTGAGTCACTCTCGCTCGTAAGCACATACAGCCAACACCCACACCACGCGCACGTAGCATGTACTTCCAATGGGTCACCTAGGAATTCGCCACACGACTATACACAGCTCAGAGATTGCCCCGACAAGCACTGTATATGTACACGCACACGCACACGCACACATACTTCCGGAATAGACAACTCCGTTAGTGTAGCCACAGTCTCGTCTTCCAGTGGCTGTTCGTCATCAATATCATCCACCCCGGGGAACTCTACGCCCACCGATCTGAAAGCACTTTGCGCGGGTTTTGGATTGGCTGCCACTGCCTGTAGTAGAATGTAGGGGTCCACGTCATGAGATTGATAATCCAGATACAAGCGACACACACACACACACACATATATATACATATAATTACATACATACATACATACATACA